GAATGCTGCAGTAAGATCTAACAAAATTAGAACAACACAACTCCCAGAGTCAACACCTCTTAAGATATCATTGGAGACCCTCAAGAGAGCAGACTCTGTACTGTGACCGGCTCTAAAACCAGACTAGAATCTATCTAAGATATTATCCCTCTTTAAAAAACATTTAACTGCTCCAACACAATTTTTTCCAATATCTTAGATATAAAAGGCAGCTTCGAAATGGGGTGAAAATTATTCATGTTAAAGGGATTCTAAACCATTTTTTTATAAGGAGGGGCTGAATAACAGCATTCTTAAAACTAGCGGGAACAACACCAGATGACAGACTACTATTCAAAATAGTCAGAATACTTGGACCAATAGTGTCAAAAACCTTCTTAAAAAAATTACTAGCATATTGGCTGTATATAGCATATTGGCTTATTCTGCATGACCATATTTTAGATCCCTTAAGCTAATAAATACATTTGTTCAGGGAAAACTCTTAGTTAATAATGAATATGTGTTTCCTATTCTAGAGTATTACCAAAAGTTTATAATTCTTAAAAAAAACTATTTTTAAGTTTAAAAATCTAAATAATTAAAAAATCTAAAGAACCATTTTAGTACTATGAATAACCTTTTGTATAATGGAAGGTTCCACGGATGTTTGATGTTCTTCATGGAACAATAGACGCCAATAAATAACTTTTATTTTTTAAATTGTGGTGTAAAAAGTGCGCTTGGATCTTAGTCCATCTTACCAACTTTTCTGTGCTCTGTTCTTTGACAAATGACTCAAAATCAAATAAAAGTTGTGATCCAAGACATCTTATGGGTTGCGTGCTACAATTTAAAGGGATAGTTCATCCAAAAATTTAAATTCTGTCATTAATTACTCACCCTCATGTCGTTCTAAACCCTACACAAATTAAGATATTTGGTAACACTTTCTATGAAGCCCGTATTTATAATACATTATAAGGGTATTCTTAAGGCATTATAATGAATGCATAATGCATTATAAAAAACCTTATAATATGTTGTATCATCTCATGAATATTCATAAGAACAGTTTTAATATATTATAATATTTACTTATTTGTGGTCATAGCTTTTAAGAGTATTGTCACGAATCCGGTCCATGAACTTCCAATTTCATTGACTCTCGCACCACACACTGTTGCACATCACCTCGTAAACAGCGTATGCTGTTCTGTGTCAGCTGCGTCACGCGCATACGCTGTTTTCGTTCAAATCAAAGCGTAAACAGCGTAGAAAACATATGCACGTGACATACGCTGTTTACGTTCAGTGGATACTCTTACATTGCTGTCTGGGAGGGTCAAAGAGTTCACAGAATTCATCAAAAATATCTTAATTTGTGTTCCGAAAATGAATGGAGGTC